GTCGCGCAAAGTGTTTGCCCCCGGGTGCCTGGCTTGCGGGGGGGGGGGGGGGGGCAAGGGAGAGAGGTACTGCTCGTCGCTCGGCCAGGGGGGCGACATGCGACCGGGGAGAGGCACTATGGAAGAAGGAAATGGCGACACGCAGCGAGGAGAGGTGGCATCTTCGTCCGCCGAGAAGACCTCCTCTCTCCTCCCGAGATCCACAGCGGCTCGCGTCACATGGCCCCCCGGGCGTTGCGCCATGTGCGCACACACGACACACGGAGAGACGCCCCGCTCCCTCTGTGCCGGCCTCACTGCGCATACGCAAACACCCCGGGGGGGGGGGGGGGGGGCAGCAACAGCGGCGGAGTGGCACGTGCGGGGAGCCTGGCCATTACGAGGGCGGGGCACCGGCCGACGAGGCGGCCGGCGTGGAGGGGATCTCCGTCGGCGAGGCGGTCGACGGCGAGGGAATGGTGGCCGAGGTGGAAAGGGCCAGCGCGACGGCCGCCGCCGCCACGGCATTCACATTCCGGTGGCGCTGGCGGAAGGAGGGCGAGACGCGGAGCGACGTGCCGGAGATCGGGACAGATGTCCCCTTCGGGCCGTCTCCACTGCCACTCGGGGGAACTGCCGCCGTCGTGGAGGGAGAGAGGCCGCCGCCGGAGGAGCAGGAGGAGGCGATATTTGAAGAGGAGGGCCCCGCCTCGGCCGGGGTGGCCACTTGCGGCGTGGGGGGCGAGGTTGGCGGGTCCAGCGGCGATGAGGGGACCGACTTGTACCCGAGCGAGGCGGCCGAGTGGGGGAGGAGGCCGGCCCCGGCACCATGGCGCCCGGGACCACCGGCGGAGGCCGGGCCGCCGGCCAGCATGGCCGACCCGCCGGCGGTCGCCACCTCCGGCGGTGATAGCGAGTTCCCGCTGGCCGCGCCGACCGTCGAGAAGGTGGCCGAGCGGTGGCGTGCGCCGGCCACCGCCGTGGAGGTGGTCGGTGGGGGGGCGTCCCCGGTGGCGGCGGGGGCTGCCGCAGCGGGGGCGGGGGTTGCCGCCGTGGCCGCCGTGGCCGCCGTGGCCGCCGTGGCAGCCGCCGCCATGGCCGCCGCCGACTCCGCATCCGCCGGGCTGATGGTGTGCAGCGAGTCGAAGGACCCGCCGACGGCCGGCCCGGCGCCCGGGTGATAGTGCGAGGCCATGGCCATGGCCGTCGCCGCCGCCGCCGCCGGGTGCCCGGGCGGCAGCATCATCAGCTCCGGCGGCAGATGATGCGAGTAGGGGGTCGGCGGCGCCATGTCCGCCCCGGGGGTGGACACCGAGGTGACCGCCATGCCGGGATGCTGGCCGCCGCCGCCGCCGCCACTACCACCACCACCGGTGGCCAACAGAGCCGGGTCCGACGAGGGGGACGGCGAGCTCTGGTACGAGATGTAGTACGGCTGGCCATAGGCCCCGCGCAGATGCATCGCATGCGGGTGGTGGGGGTGGTGGTAGAGCGGGTAGACCGAGGTGGCGTGGCGGAGGCCGGCCGCCCCCGGCGGGGGGGCCCCCCCGGCGGCTCCTCCGGCCCCGGAGCCGCCGGACGCCCCGCCGCCGGTGCCGGCCAGCGAGGGCGCGGTGGTCCCGGACGGGGTGCCCGGCGCTTGCCCGGGATACCCGCCGGCCCCGGCCCCGGCCCCGGCCCCCAGGAGGTGCCCATGGGCCTGCAGGTGCGGCGGCAGGAGGACCATATGCTGGGCGGCCGCCTGCTGCTGGAGCTGCAGGATCTGGGCCGCCTGGAGCTGCTGAATTTGGGCCACCTGCTGGGCCTGGGCCGCCTGCTGGGCCTGGGCCGCCTGCTGGGCCTGGGCCGACTGCGCGGCCGCCTGCTGCGCGGCCGCCTGCTGGGCCTGCAGATTGGCGCGGTTCCGTGCGCGCGTCAGCGACATGGCCACGCGCTGCGAAGAGGGGCAGCTGTGCGACCGGCGGAGCTGGGCCGCGCCCCCGGCCGCGTCCTCATCCGACGGGCCGCCCTCCTCGCCCTCCTCGGCCAGGGAGCCGGCCCCGGCCCCGGTGGCCGGGTCGACCCCGGTGGCCGCGGCCGGCGGCAACGGCGGCCGGCCCGCATCCTGAGGCGTCCCCGAGAAGAAGTCCGGCCCGAGGGATTGCCGCTCATGAAGACGCAGCTGCGCGTCCAAGTCCGAGGAGAGGTCGGTCCCGCTGCCGGGCGACAGCAGCGCCGTCGACGAGGCGGAAGACAGCGCCGGCGTCGAGGAGGAGGGGTGCATGCCGAGGAGCTGGGCGTGGGGGTGCCCGGCGGCCGCCGCAGCCGCCGCCGCCGCCGCAGCCGCCGCCGCAGCCGCATGGTGGTGGTACGGGTTCCCGGTGTAATACCCATCGAGGTAGGCGCGAGCATGGGGCGGCGGCGGCGGCGGGGCGGTCCCGGCCCCGGGCCCGGCCCCCGGCTGCGCCCCGGCGTAGTACGGGTCCACCCCGCCGCTGGACGTGGCCGGGTGGTAGGCATAGAAGGGGATCTGCGACCCGTGGAAGGGGTGATGCAGGAGCACCGGCTGGCCGCCCTGGTACATGGCCGTCGCCTGGGGATGGTAGGACACCATGGGATAGGGCGAGTGCGGGGAGGCCAGGTGCAGGTGGCTGCCACCATGGTGGCCGGCGGCGGCCGCCGCCGCCGCCGCCGCCTGGGCCTGCTGCTGCTGCTGCTGCTGCTGGGCCGCCGGCAGGGCCGACATGGACACCGCCGAGTTCAGGTGCCCGGCGGGCGCCCCGCCGGCGGACCCCGGCCCGGGCGACACCTGAGGCGAGGAAGCCCCCCCGGAGGCCAGGGGCGGGAGCATGGTCGGGCTGGGCTCCAGGGTGTGGCTGGCCCCGGTGCCGGTACCCCGGCCGCCGAGGGCCGCGCTCGAGCTGAGGAAGCGCCCATGCTGGGCCATGGCCGGGGGCTCGGCGCCCAGCGCCTGGTGCGAGTGGGCGTGCGGGTGCAGCAGGTGCATGTGGGGGTGTTGCTGCTGCTGCTGCTGCTGCTGCTGCTGCTGCTGCGATGGCAGGGGGGCCACCCCGCCAGCGCTGGAGGACGGCGGCGAGGGCATCAGCCCGGTGGCCGTGGTCGGTGTCCCGGCCGACAGGAGGGGCGTCGAGCCGGAAAACTCGCGCCGCACCAGCCCGTACGGGGTCTGCAAATGCGTGGCAGCCAGGTGCGCGCTGTGGGACGGACACCCCCGGGTGGCCGAGGCGAAGGCGCATGGCCCGACAGAAGGCGGCAACGGTTAGAGGGGTAAGGCAGAGGGAAGAACGGCCGCCGGGCGGGCAGGGGGGGGGGGGGGGAACAGGCAAGCAGCGGGCAATGCAGAAGGACAGGCGACCGCCTGACGTACGTGTCCGGCAGCAGGGAGCCCGAGGCATCGGCCGAGGCCGGCTTCCCGGCATTCAGCGAGGACGACGAGGCGGACCCGGCGGCCAGGGTGTCCGGGCAGGAGGTGGACCCGGCCGGGCCGCCGTGGACCAAATCCAGCCCGGAAGTGGCCGGCGACAGGATCCCCTGGCCGCCGGCCTCGCTGCCGGCGCCCGGCGTAACGCTGAAGCCCGGGTGCGGGGAGGAGGCAGCAGCCGCGGCCGCGGCCGCCGCCGCGGCCGCCGCCGCCGCCGCCATCGACGGGTCCATGTACGGGTAATGGTAGAGCGGCTGCCCATGGCGGAGGTGCTGCCCGTGGACCGAGAGCATCGGCGGCAGGTGGACCTGGATCGGCGATGGCACCCCCTGGTGGTGCATGTGATGCAGATGGTGGTGGTGGTGGTGGGCAAGCAGGGCGGCCTGGCTGGCGGCGTGCGGGCCGCCACCGGCCCCGGCCGGGCCCCCGGCGAAGTACAGCGGCGAAGGCGGCGTGAAGCTGGTGGCCGCCAGGCTGCCCACCGGCGGCGAGGTGGACACCCGAAGCGGAGACCGAGGGGGGGCATGCGCGCGGCTCAGGCCCCCGCCTCCCCCGGGGGAGGCGGGCCCCGGAGACCCGGCCTCGGCCGCGGCCGCCGACGCCGCGGCCAGATCCCCAATGGCCGCCAGCAGGAGACCCCCCGAGGAGGAGCTCGGCGTCGGGGGCGACTGCGGACAGGAGGAAGCACTGCCGAGGGGGCCGCCGCCGGCGCTGGCCGGGGCCACGGCCGAGGCGGACCCCGGCCCGGCCGACGCCGGGGCCGACGGCGACAAGATCGCGTCATTCTGCGTCGGCAAAATCAGCGGCGGCGGCTTCGGCGCCGAGGACCCGGTGGAGGGGGCCCGCGTGGGGGAGGCGGCGGCGGCGGCGGCCACGCCGGCCGCCACCGGGCCAGGCGCACCGGGCCCCCCGCCCTGCAGAGCCTCCTCATGCTGGACGAGCTCCTGCAGCCGGGACTCGAAGGCCCCGAATTTGTGGACATTCTGGTTGACCCCGGCCTTGGAATAGGCATCCAGCGTCTGGCGAATGGTCTTGTCCCAGACCTTCTGCTTTTGCCGCAGGGTCATCGGCGGCGGGGAGGTGGCCGACGAGGACCCGGTGGTGATGGTGGACCCCGGGCCGCCGGACAGGGGGACCGTCGTGGTGACGGTCGACCGGGCTGGCTCCGGCACCAGCGGCGACGAGGCCGCCGGCAGGGGATTCGGCGACCCGGACGAGGAGGACGAAGAGGAAGACGAGAAGGAGGAGGCCGACAGGGCACGCAGCCGCGTGGCCGACGAGGCGGCCAGGCGGCTGACCGCGCTGATGGCCCCGGTCCCGGCGGAGCTGGCCTTGACATAGACCCCGCCCGACTCGCGGGCGGTCAGCTCCTTGCGGGACTTCTCCGCCCGGATGGCGGCCTCCACTTCGGCCGCCTCGGCCATGGCCTCACGCTCATACTCCTCGGCCATGTGCTCCACGTGCAGGATGCACCGGTTGAGCAGGTCCCGGAAGGAGGGCCGCTGGGCCGGGTCCTGGTGCCAGGCATCCTCCATGAGGCTGCGGAAGAAGGGCGGCGTGTCGGCCGGCACCGGCGGGCGCTTGCCCTCGCCGGCCACCAGCCAAATGACCTGCACATGGCGCATCCCATCGAAGGGGGCCTTGCCGGTGAGCAGCTCCCACACCACCACACCGAAGGAGTACACGTCGATGCTTTGATTGACCTGCTCCTCGCGCAGGAGCTCCGGCGCCATGTACCCGATGGTGCCGACGAAGGTCATGGTCAGCATTTGCTGCCGCGGCACCTGGAAGCCGCGGCTGGTGCCGAAATCGCAGATCTTCACGCGAAGCTGCTCATCCAGCAGGACATTGGCCGTTTTCAGGTCCCGGTGCAGGATATTCCGATTATGGAGGTAACTCATGCCCTGGGGAGGGGGGGGGGGGGGGGGCGGGGGGAGAGCGGGAGTCAGGGCCTAGACAGAGAGAGAGAGAGAGAGGGAAATGCGGAGGAACCCGGCAGGAGAGAAAAAACCCGGCAGGGGAGGCACAACCCCCGACACACACCTCCACCAGCTGCATGCTCCACTTGAAGACGTCGCGCAGGCCGTAGTCATTCTCGCGGATGTACTTGTAGAGGTTCGTCACGCCGAGCTCCATGACCATGTGGAAGCGCGGCGGGGCAATGCTGGCGCCGAAGAGCCGGACAATGTTGCAGTGCGTCACCCCGCTCAGGTACTGCAGCTCGGTCTCGAACTCCTTCTTTTGCTCGTAGTTGACGAACTTCACGGCCACCAGCCGGTCCCGGTACTTGGCACGGTACACGTGGCCGATGGAGCCGGACCCGATGTTGTCCAGGATCTGGGTGGCGCACACGGCCGGCCGAGGGCGAGAGAAGAGCATGTCAGTGCCGGCACGAAGAGAGGTCCAGGCAAAGGGAGAGCCGAGGCCCGGGTAAGAGGGGAGCCGGCGCCCAGACAAAAGGAGAGCCGAGGTCCAGGCAAAAGGGGAGCCCAGGCCCAGGCAAAAGGGGAGCCCAGGTCCAGGCAAAGACAGAAGGCAGGGAGGGGGGGTGGGGAACAAGGCAGAAGAGAACACACCTGGAGATCCTTCAGGGGAATGTGCACGAAATCGGCCGGCTTCTTGCTGGACCGGCGGCTGGAGGCCGACGGCCCGGTGAGCGTGGCATCCGGCTCGGCATCCGGGCCGCTCTTGTGCATGCCCGGGGGGTGGAGAATGTGCGGCGTCGGCGAGGTGGAAGACCCGCCGCCGGCGGAGGACCCACCGCCGGAGGACGACCCGCCGCCGGCCCCGGTCTGGGCGATGGTGGACGAGTCGCTGCCCTCGCGGAAGTGCCGGGCATTGTGGTGCATGGTTGCGACGAGGGGGGGGGCTGCTACGGCCGCGAGGGGCGACGTGGCAGGAAGGGGGCTACGGCCGGGCGGCGGGGAGGCACACGCAGGGCCGGGGGCTGACGACGACGACGACGACGACGACGACGACGACGACGACGACGACGACGACGGGGAGGGTGACGCCGCTAGGGGAGGAGCAGCCCACGCCAGGAAGAGCGGCGGTGGCGGGGAGGGCGGCGGTGACGGCGGCGCGGGGTGGTGGCGCGCCTGCGGCGGGGTAAGATGCTCCGGCGTGAAGAGGGGCGACCGGGCGACCGAGGGGCAGACGCTCGACGATGCCAAGGGCGAGAGAACCGGCGAAGCCCGCAACGAGGGGGTAACCGGGGGACTGCCTAGCAGGGAGGTCGCCGCGCTGGTCGCCGGCGAAGTGAAGGCGAGAGGGGCAAACTT